GGCTCCATTGACCCTAGCTCCAATTTACTTTACATTGAAAAATTGTCAACTCTTTCTCTGTAACTTCTACTGATTCTGGTGTTTTTATTTTGCTATTTTGTGAGTAAATACATTCCCACTCTTAAGCTGGAAGTGGCCTCTAAATTTGCACCTGTAATTGCTAGCCTCATGAGCTTCATTTGCCTGGAGCCAAACGCCATGGGAGACATCACTGTCCCATAGTCCACATCTTTATACAGTCTATACTCACAATCTACAGTTAAGAGGTGTACCTGTGAGACCCTGGTTTTACATTGAGGAGTTGTATTGTGGATAAGAATTTTGGGACAGTGGTTGGGCAAAATAACAAGTACAAAAAAGGGTTAGGGTTAGGATTGATTCCATACTGTGAAACTTTCCAGACAAAGCAATAACATCTCGATGGAGAAAGGCATTTGACCAACCCTCCACCAGAAATTACACAATGCACCTTTAAAATTAATGCACTGTAGCAAAAGACTAATAACTACAAGACATGAGTAAAGTACTTATTAAAATGACTAACATCTTTAAATATATAATGTATAGAATAAAACAGAATACAATAGCTACTTCCTGTACAGCACTTCAGACAGAATAGATTGTGAGTGTCAGTTAATGGTGATGCTTTTCCATCTTGAGATGCTAGCTCTGAGCTGTTTGCATTCTCCAGTCATCGGACACACAGTGCTTGCATGGTGAGAATTACACCATCGGGGTGCTAATGTTGGGCCAGTATAATGCACTGTGTGGGAAGTGAATTTAGTCATCCATATTTTGGGTTTCATGTGCAAAAAAATTTACACATAATTTTATCTTTGCACTGTTTTTCTCTTGTATATAGCTAGAGATACATTTGTATCACTATATTTTTCTATATTTTATTTGTACATATGCATATTTATATAATGATGCCTTATTTGACACCAGCCTCTTGCTATTTTTGCTACTTATTTTGAATTTATTATTACCATTTATAGTTTGCTCTTTGTTATTAGATTATATTGTGATGTGTGATCTACTGTGTCCAAATAATTTCGCTTGTGGAACAATAAAGTCTATAAACCTGCAATAGAGCTTCAATTAACCATCAGTATCTAAGCCTGTCACAATAATTACTATATTAATTCATATATGTTGGGACTCAGTATTTATTGTGTACATTACCTTTGCAAAAACAATGATTATATTGGGTATTTTTTTGTTCTAATAGAATACAATTTGAGCTGTCAAAATTTCAATATGTGACTATTATGGCTAATTCCTTGTTCATTCTTTTATTTCTTTGTTGGAGTTCATGCCTTTTGAATGACACTGTATATTTAAAAATAGGTTTAGTTGGATTATCTTTTATTATTGTGGTTGACTCAGTAGGATAAACTAGTATCAATATTATCTTTTATCACAGTATATTTCTGTAACAATACATCAATATCCATGCTTTGTTATTGTGACAGGCCTACCTAATTAACCAAACAGGTCCATATAGTCACACAGAACCAAAACAAAACCAAATGTGCCTCTGTTCTGCACCAGACAAAAACACTGGCACGAGTTCAGACGGACCCTTTGTGAGTCAGATACTCCTGATGTCTTCTGTTCTCAAACTTCACAGTGCTCTTCACCCTGGCTTTAGGAACAATAACTACCAGAGTCATTAAACCCCAGATCAATAACTCAAGAGGAATTAACCTTTGTCTGATCTTTTTAGCAAGACATGCAGTTTGTAAATTAATGTCAGGAGGGGTAAATAGAGATAAGCCTTTCCTGTTTTCATTATGATACACAAACTTTCTAAGCATAGAAATCTGTTTTGCCTGTTGATAACTTCATTTATATAATTATGCCTTATTTGACACCAGTCTCTTGTTATTTTTGCTACTTATTTAGAATTTATTATCACCATTTATATTTTTTCTCTTTGTCATTATAATATCTTGTGATGTTTGAGCTACTGTGTCCAAATAATTTCCCTTGTGGATCAATAAAGTTTATCTAAATTTATTTCTAGTCAAACTTATGCTCATTTCAGACTCCTTCTGCTCCAAGACAATGGAGATGGTGGGGAAGAACATTTGTCACTGAAGAATAATCATGTTTGTTTTTGTGACAGTTAAAACTAGTGTTGCCATTTATTATTTTAAGCAAATAGAACTCCAGTGAAAGCTAAAGCATCTCTTCAGAACTGTTTGCACAATGTCTAAATCACAAATCCAACTATAATCCCAGTGGAAGATCTTGTTTCCCCTGTTTGTGTATTTGGCTTGGTTATATACTGTACTTTTTGGGTGGAGTTTTGCACAAACCAAGCCCAGTTCAATATTTATTTGCAAAATTAGGTTAATTAATTGTCTGAGGTATAAGTAGTCCACAGGTTTAAATTTATGTGCTTTGAGGCTTTTGAGCATCTTGGCCGGTCCAGACAGCTGTTGAATTAAAGAGGTTGTGCATGACCACACAGAGCAAAATGGCAACACATCACTCAATGGAGAGAGCAGGAATAAAAGAAGGATTAAGAGCACTTCACAAAGAATGCCTAAGCGAATTCACAGATCATGGAACTTAATATTAAAATTTGACAATACTAATTCTTTTATTTACTGTTTTATTCCAGATGTCCTTTAACGATCCACTTATATACACTTTTTCATGACTGATGCTGATACTGATTGTTTAGAATCTAGACAAACCGATGGCCAATGAGCTTTTGGGCTGAGCTCTAGAGCTGATTTAGATAATTTTTACCAAACTATCTAATTAAAATTTAGAACAAACTCATTCACAACCTTCTTTTATTATAGACTGTGTAGAGAGCACTCTACTTAATTTTTTTTGAAGTAGCCTCTTTGGATTAAAATGTTCAAACAAAGCTTTATACATATATTTTTCATGCATGGTTGGACCACACAGAATACTGGCCCCTGCTGCAGATTTATGGCTGGTAGTCAATATGCTAAAAACTGCTAATATCAGCTTGATATATACTAGGTCTGTCTCTAATATCCTTCTTGATATTGTTGTTTTGATCGGCAGGGCCTTGGTTATTCTGCAGTATTTCACTCTTGTATTGGTCCCACTGACTAACACAACATAAACAAAGCGTCGCCATGGCACTTTTGGAGAGCATGGAGGAAGTTGTCACTTGTCATGTGGAGGTCAGGTCACACAGTGTAAGTGTCCATCTATTTCAGGAAGAGGACAGTGTGCTCATAAAGCTTTGACAACATCACACCATGGCCATCAAGAAGACCCTTTAACAACCAACACACAAACAACCACTGCATTTCCTCACACAATCTATCACAGTTGGATCAACAAAATGTCAAAATAAAGCCAGTCACCATAATTACTGACTAATCGTTCAGTATATGAAAGTTGGAACAATATATTTTGGGCTCTAAATGTATTGTGTGCACAATTTTTTGCACTACTGGGAATTATTGGTTATTTTTTGGCTTTATATGATAAGATTTAGTTGTAAAAGTCAGGTTCAATTCATAACTTCTAAATATCCATTACACATGCAAACTAACTATAAAATGTTTAATTCTTCTTTTTATTTATTGCAGATCTTTTATTGCATGATTCTTTAACAATATTGTAGATTTAGAATAGCTTTTTGTGGTTTAAAGGTGCACTGTGTAATTTTTTCCAGTAGAGGGTCCACCATCCAATTGTTTCCATGACAGTGTTATTGCTTTGCCTTGAATGTTCCATGCTATGGCATTAGACTTATGTAGCTTGCATTTATACAATTACGGGTGTGTTTATGCGCAAATATACATTGAAAAACGTCTATTCTTACTGTGTGCGGGGTCGCCTCTTCACAGGTCTAAACTGTATCTTTGCCTGGTAGCATCTGCTTGTCTCCATGAATATTGACAAGTTTGATGCCGTATTGTGGAAGTTTCAAGGTAAAGCAAGAACATTTCCATGGAGACAAGTAGGTTGTGGTCCCTCTACCAGAAACGTTACACAGTGCACCTTTAAATCTCCTCTAGGGTTTTTGTGTCAGTGGTACAAATTTGTTTCAGTATTATCTTTTATTGTCTATATTTGCTTGTATTTAAAATATATCACACTTAAAGATTTGTTATCATGACAAGCTTAGTCGGAATCAATTTTTCCAGTCAGACCACATCACTGCAGTCATGAATCAATTTCAAAGCTATGGTTTCCTCTTCACAGCTCATTGAAGTATCTATTTTGGTATGCACCTGGGAGAAAGAAGGAGAAAAACATCCTCTGGCAAAGCAGCTTCTACAACGGAGATAGGAAACCCCTGCACAACATCTGACTGCATGATGGTAGTAGCAGGCTAAACATAACAGTAAGGGGGATGGGTCCGGCTACATTACCTCATCTAGCATAAATTGCGTTATCTCGAGCTAGGAGATGGTCTGTGTGCTAAAAAGCTATCAGCTGATGAAAGCGACCTCACGTGAGCAGTGCCAACCTGTGCTGGGTTAATTATTGATGGTCGTGTCACGTGGATTTCAGATAAACATGGGGGACAATTTCATGAGATTGAATTAGTTCTTCTGATGCGTGAAGTCACTTGTCGATCCTTGTAGGCAAATTATCACACTGAGAAAATGGCCAACCCAAAAACAGTTACTGCAGAAAAACAAGCTATACAGTATTCATTCTCAAGTACAATGGCATAGGCTGCAAAGAATGAAGTTCAGCCAGTGTTAGTATGCAGAGTTAGAGTGTAACTTCCAGAACTAAAGTAGCATAAGACCTTGACCACTGAAGCTGATATAAAAATTATGCAAAAATTACATCACAGAAAAACCGCATTGCAAGAAAGTTGTAACAAAATTTTGACGCCATTTGAAACCAAATTAGCGCGGACTGAGAATGAACTGGGCTTGGCTAGTGCATTGTTATTACGTGGTTGTTGAGCAGTTGGCCGAAATTGTGAAAGACTTCGATGACAAAGCATGAAAAAGACGTGCGTAACATTGAGTCAAACTTACATGTTGATCCCGGTAGAGTCGGTTCCTCCATGGCGATTGCAGTCTCCTCGCCTTCAGCGCCTTTGTTCATTCAAACGAGCGAGTTGGGGCTCTTCCTCCCTCCGGCACTGCTCTCATACCTCAGGCACAATGTGGAAAACTTGCCCGAGTCACTCCACTTGCAGATTCCGCTCTGCACTGCGCGCAGAAAATCGTCGAAAATGACTCCCACGATGAATAGCGCTGGGTGTAAATAGGTGCCCAGGTGTCCGCCTTGAATCCAGCGAAACTCTGAATTAAAGACTGCTGTTAAAATGTAAAGATCAAATGAAAGGGAGAGCGATAAGTGTCTCCCCACTCGTCTCACGGAGCACACAGCTGATGCTCGGCTGGCGCGGATGCTCACACACTCCGGACTCAGGGTCGGACTGTACCATTATCACAGAGGGGTGCGTACGTGCGCGTTTCTGATTATATCGTTAAAAAGTCCGCATTTTGGGGTTTCGCGTAGTTATCAAACACTATAAATAAACGGATAAATGGATATTAATGGCGTAAGGTTAAAGGTATTCTCCACATCTTTAAAGTTTGACCCCCTACATGTGTTAATGGTTTATTCCCAAAACTACTGCCTGGAAACTGCTGGCTGCCTATCTACACTTGTCTGTTATTCTTTTTCAGTAATATTTTGGTACTTTTCACAGTCTACCGTAGGCTATTTAACTCAACTTAAACATTATTTAGAATTTTATTTCATTTATTTTATTTTGCCCAATATCTCTCACACACACACGGACCCAATCGAATCCACTTTATTTATATAGCACATTTCATAAACAAAACCGTCTCCAAAGTGCTGCACAATCCAAATAAAGCATATCCAATAGAAATATAAAATAAAGCTCTACTTAACTCTACTTGTTCTCATTAAGACAATAAATAAAATAATAGAAATATAAAATAATAAGAGCAAAAATACCAATAAAAAATAATGAAAAGGTTAAAAACATAAAATAAATAAAAGACACAGAGGACCACACAACTCACGCGCCCCTAAAAGCCAGAGAATAAAAGTGGGTCTTAAGACGAGACTTAAAACACTCCACCATGGGGGATATTAGAGATAGACATAGATATTTCATAGGATTAACTGCACATTGAAACATCTACACATTTGAACCAATTTACATAGATGTATTTTAGCCCTTCTTTAGGCTGTAAATTTCCAGTGCTCTCTCAGTTGGTTTCACTGGAGAAGCTGAGTAGGTGTTGGTTAGACCATAGGGCAGAATAAAAGCACTCAGGGGGACTGGAGTGGTCATCTGCATAATAAATGAAGTGAGTCCACAGTATCTTCAAATGTAAATGTGGGCTGAAAAAGTTAAAAATAAGTTTCACTTTTAGAGACACTATTGTTTCCTGGGTTTAATCCAATTTATTAGAAAATGGTTTACAGTCTAAGCATCCACCAAGAAGCTTGTGGATTCAAGAGAAAAATGTGTTTGTCATATAGTAATTCTATCAGTACCAGCTACACGAAGTAACTTTTTTGGTTGGAGGTCCATCACCTGCTTGTTTCTATGGGGATGTCATTGCTTTGCCTGGAATGTTCCACAGTACGACATTAAACAGCTCTACCTTACATTTATTAATGTACAGATGGTTTTACTGTTCAAAAATACCCATAAAAACAGGCATTCTGACTGTCAGCGGAATCGCCTCTCCACATATCTGACTTGTAGCTTGTAGAAGATAGAAGGTTTAATACCATACTGTGGACCAGTCCAAGCAAAGAAATAACATCTCAGTAGAGAAAAACATTTGACCACCATTTGACTCCACCAGAAAAGTTACACTGTGCAACTTTAATCATTATAGACATGTTTGCAACTATACAATAACTCTGGCAGTTTCTAGTTTCAGTTTTCAATATGACTTTTTCGCATTATCACCACTTATTGGCATTGTTGCATAGATATTTGTTCTTATCTGTTCTTATAGTATTAGTCTTATCCGGGGGGTGGGGTCTGGGGTCGGCACACTTAAGGGGGTCTCCCTTTGTGCAGCTGTTGAGTCCCCAACAGCCACCTGTCACTGCAACTGGAAAGTGGGGGTTTCATGAAATGGGGGAGGGGGCATGTGCTTGGTCTAAATTTTAATTGTTAAAAGTGAATACATAATAATGATAATGGATATTATCATGTGTTTAGAATGATTGATGACATAGGTACACAAAAGCAGAAACCATGGTGTAATAGTGTAGTGGAATTACTAGTGTCTAAATATGGATTATGAAAAAGCATTAATATTTAAAAACAGATTACATAGTGCTAATAAAAATATGATTGTTTATCAATTTTAAGGTCTTATATTACTCAAAATTGAGCTTTAAGCAATGTTATAATGTTGTTACCTCATCAGAAAATGCTGTGTTTTTGTTTCATTCACACGTGTTTGAGTAACCCTTTATTATTATTATATCTATTTACATCTCCAAAGCTCAAAATGTGATGTCATGAAGCTGTAGTTTTCAAGATAACAGCTACCCTTTACCTCTTGTTCAGTATAGCAATTCCAGGGCTGAAATCATCCAAATTATTCTAGTGAAGGTGTATGGATTTTAAAAACACAGTGGAGCACTTCCTGTATTGCTACATGACCTCACAAGGTGGAGAGTTTTCTGTTTGATAAAAGAAGTCAGCCTAAATATGCAGGGTTTGTGTGTTAAACGTGTGCAAATGAAACAAAACACAACTCCAGGTTTGTCATAGCATAATATTGGCCAATTAAGAGTGAGCAGGAACTTTTTATATATGTGACACTTTAAATAAAATTGCAAAATGTCTCAGTATTATAAACTGATAGTTGTGTTCTTCAGTTCTCTCTTTGTTTTCAAGTGTTTTCAAAGCTTCTACTCCTTGAGCCCTAAGTCTTTCTTTCTCTTTTCTCTCTTGTCTATAGAAAGACCTGACTTGGCTGGAGAGGACATATGTGCACAACCCACTCATCCGAAGACACACACTTAAACTGAAACAAAAGTTCTGAATATTAAAAGGAGGCTTCTGAATGTGGAAAAAGTACCAGTAGGTTTGTAATATGAGAAAGTTCTGTATTATAAGAAAGTCCAAATCCACTGCCACAAATTAAGATTTTTTTTTTTTAGTTTTTGTTTTATTCACACTTCTTTATTTTTTTTGCAAGTCAATAAAATCTCTCTATTTTTGGCAGAGTAAGAGTCACTCCCTCGTGCTGTTGAAAATGCATGACATAATAATGCATGAGGTAACTTAGAGACGCTGCATGTTGTAGAGATGGCAAGGTTTATTAACAAAAGAAACAGTGCTGAGTAAGAAAGAAAGCAAAAAGTAAGAAAAGTGTCTTGCTAATGGAATCAATGGAAGTTTGAAAGAAGCAGGAATTTAGCCATCAGATGGTCTATTATGTGGTATTCATTTGTAAGCTTAGATTAATTCAGCAACATATTTCCAGTCCTAATTAGACTACAAGTCAAACGTTAGAACACACCCTCTCATTCAATGTTCTTTTTTCTTTATTTTCACTACTTTCTACATTATACAGAAGACATCAAATATATGACACAAAATATAGGGAATTATGTAAAAAAAGTTTAAAAACTATGAAATATTTTTGACAAAGCAAAGGGTGGCTACTGTGAGGATGAGGATTTGAATATAAAATATATAATTTTTTAATTGTAGAGTTGTTTTACTTTTTACTTTGCTACATAATTCCATATATCTTACTTCATATTTAATGCCTTCTGTATGCTGTATAGAAAACGTAGAGAATAGTAAAAAACATTGAGATGAGATATGTCCAAACTTTTATCTGGTAGTGTCCATGTAACAACTCTTACACCACATCTTTACCACAGCAGCAAAACATTATGTCACTGTGTGTCAGTCTCTCCAACTCCTCCTCTTCACCACCTTATTTAAAGGAGACCTATCATACAAAATCAACTTTTTAGAGCTTTTGACCATGTTGTAGATGTTTCCCCTCAGTATTTACCCCCTCTAAGTTGTATTTGGAGTGATTTGTGCATATTTTAGCAATCTTTAAAGGGCCCATGTTAAGGTCATTTCTGATCTGTTGTATTGTCATTTCCTCATCAAAAACATGCCTGTTGTGTTCTGTTTCTTTCACAAATGTTTAACACATAAATCCTGCAAATTTAGGATGAGTTCTTCCCTCAAACTAACACTCCTTGTGATGTCATGTCGTAGTACAGAAAGTGCTTCACTGTGTTTTTAAACTCCACACAGTAAATTCAAGAGTGTTAATTCAACTTGTCTTTTGTTAATTTTCACTTTTACCATGTCATATGGGTTCCACAATAAAATTTGTTAAAACTACACTTTCCAAAGTGTAGCAGGCTCAACACTGGTAAAGTGATGTAACCACACTACTCATAGTTGAATTTGACACTGATTAAGATTAGATTTTTTTTTTTTACACTAGTGTATAGCGAAAAACTAATAACTTTATATTGCCATATTATTGCGCTATTTAACACTTTATGAAGTAGAAATAGTGTAGTGTTCTTCATGTTACACTATTCAATAGTAACTCTTTCTTCACTAAATACAGTGTAAATGCTGTGGTCATTCTAGTTCATAATCCCTTTTACAAATGTAAAACAATAAAAAACACCACAAAATTCCATTTCAACTTAACTTGCATTAAAACAATGCACATCATACAATCAACACAATTTAAACAAGTCATATGACACAATACTATTTTTGCAAAATCCAACTGACAGCAGGAATTCTCTCTCCCCTCAACAGTTGGTCACAATGATTGTCATTTATTTTTTTAAAGTTGATTTTTCAATACAAACAATTGATAGATGAATCAAGATCCTGTTTTTAATGGAATTAAATGCTCATCTCTAAAAATGAGAGGAACATGTCTGACTGTTTGAAACAAGATATTCTGTGTAAAGTTTGTGAGAGTCTGAGGACCAAGTGTCTTGAAGTGTTCACCAAATTCAGCCAGGTCAATGATGACATAAAAAAAAAAAAACTTAGTAAAAAAACCTACCTGAAAGAATATGGGTTCAATTATCATATTGCATCTGGATCAGTTTCCCCCATCAACCCAAAACATGCTACAGGTCTCCATGAACACTTGTTAGTCAAGGTCAGTTAAATACAATCAATCAATGAACCTTAGACAAGACACTTCACCAACATTTGCATTATTCAGCATTATTCATTCCCTCTATACCTGGTACTGTTGTAGCCACAGCTGCCCTGGGACAGACTCATTTCATTAGTATGAAAGTGGTGTGTATGTGAGTGATGGTGGTTGGAGGGACTGATTGGCATGGCAGCTGTGCTTCTCTCAGTCTGCCCCAGGGCAGTAGCTTACCAT